CTATACCTTTTTAAATCTAAATGCTAAACAGATCATTTGAGAAGCTGGACTTTTTGAAGAATGTAGCATCAGTAACCTGGATTATGCATATGACACAGCCTTACCAAACTGAAGAGGACTTGAAGTGTTTTCTGTAGAAGATCAAGGACTGCAACCTTCAATATGGATTGCATCTCAACATCCAGAAAACGAAAATCCTCACCAGCAGGCCAATATGCAGCATCATGATAGATGGGTGAAAGATTGAAGAGATTAACAATTTCATATTGTTCAGATCCATAATCAGCATCCTTGTCACCAGCAATCAGAAAATTAAAAGGGAGTTGCATTGGGAAAATATGTTGTCAGGAACCTCTCCAGAGTGCTAAAGAGCAACAGTGTCCGTCTGGAGACAAAGGTGCGCCAGATCCAGGCCATGGTCTTCTCAGTTGCTTGCTATGCATCTGAGAGCTGGACAATGACTAAGGACGAAGAAGACTCAATGCCTTTGAGTTGTGGTGCTGGAGAAGAATGTTGAACCATGTGCTGCCAAGAAAACAACTTGGTCTGTCCTGGAGAGGGTGAAAACAGGTTTCTCCTTTAAGGCTAGGATTTTGAAGCTCCATCACACATACTTTGGGAATGTTGCTAGGAAGGACCAGTCCTTGGAGAAGGACATCATGCTTGTAAGTGCGGTGGGACAGTACAAGAAAGGAAGACCCTGGGTGAGATGGATTCACACAGTGACTCTGGCTATGGGGACAAACATGTCAGAGAAGTAGGCCCAATCAAATCACATAAATCTGTAAAACCATAGGCCCTTTCCCACTGTGACCAAAGAACTATGTGATGGCAGAAAGGTCAGAGACATTCAGTGTCTCTTAAAAGATGAGGAAGAAGAAGAAGAAAGACAAAGAGGAGGAATCACAAGCCAAGGAATGCAAATGCCCCTTAGAATCTGAAAAGGCAAGGGAACAGATTCTCCCATAATGTTTCTAGAAAGAACACCACCCCATTAACACCTTGGTTTTACTCCATTGAGATCCATATTAGACTTGTGACCCTAAGAACTGTAAGATAAAAATTGTATTGTGTAAGCCATTAAATTTGTGATTATTTGTCTCAGCAGCTATAGGAGATTAATACAGTGTCATTGATAAAAATACTACGACTACTGCACTGCCATTGTGTTGATTCTGACTCATAGCAACCCTATAATACTCAATGCAAGCTTACTGCTGTTGAGTAGGTTCCTGTGCATAGCGACCCTCCGTCAGGTTTCTGATGCTGTAAATCACACAGGACGAAACTGCCCATCTTTCTCCCCAGTGGTCTCCCTTGGAGTTGCTGGTGGCTTCAAACTAACAGAGAAGTGCCAACTTTTGGTTAGCAGTATAACACCCTAAGTCATCAAAACTTCTTTTAACCCTGTAAAAGTTGGAGTCCATCAGTGTGCCCATTTCCAGGACTTGAGATTGGAGGGAGCTGGAGAGTATGCTAACTCGTAGCAATTACCTGGATCCACAGGAATGGAAGTGGGAGGAATCAACAATGGAGAAACAGGCTGAGGTTGGATGTGTTCCTAGCATGCACAGATGAATCAATGAGCAGGGAAGTTGGTTTGAAGAGCAGGCAGTCATGAGGACCCCTGACTTTTTGACCTGGCCCCATGTGGGGGCTAGGACTGAGTGAAGGGAACAACCGGTCTGGGGCCCAGGGAGAAGTGTGGACTCGAGTTTGTAGCTGATGCCCATTTTGAACCTGCCACAGATAGCTGGGGATGAGTTGACCAGAAATTGGATGAAGAGAATGATCCATGCTGTAAGCTGAAGTTGATTGCTGCTACCTGATGGATTACTCTGGACTGGACTTTGCTTGTGGATGCAGATGCTCAAAGCTGCCAAGTTGAACAGAGGATTCTTCAGCAAAAGAACTCTTAACTTGTTTCTTCAGAGTAATTGTTTGATAAGGATAACACACCCAAAATTTGCTTTCTAAAAATGAGGATATTAAGGCACAAGGCATGAAATCGCTGGCTTACATGCTTTCATGAGTGTAGTTTTTAATAATACTGTTGTTTTTATGTGTTCTTGAGTCATAATCGACCCAAAGCTGACCCTCTAGCGGGTTTTCAGAGGCTATAAATCACAGAAGAGACTGCTCCTCTTTCTCCCACAGAGCTGCTGGTGGTCTCTAACCATGTACTTTTGAATTGACAGTGCAATTCCTTACCACTAGGCCTTTGAATTGTGGTATTGGAGAATAGTTTTAAATATCTCATGGGCTGTCAAAAGAACAGATATGTCTTGAAGGAAGTGCATCCAGAATACTCCTTGAAGGCAAAGGTGACAAAGCTTCGTCTTACATATTTTGGGCATGTTGTTAGGAGAAGCTCTTACGTGGAAAGGGATATCATGCTTTGAAAAATGAAAGGTCAGCGAAAGAGAGGAAGACCTTCAAGGAGCTAGATTAACACACTAACTGCAGCAATGGGCTCAAGTATGTCACAGATGATGAGGGTGACAGAGGATAGGAAGGTTCAGATCTGTCATCTATAGGGTCACTGTGAGTCATACTTGACTCTATGGCTCATAACAACAACAGCAAAATTATGATAGGAGATCCAAATGGCAAGCCCAGGGGTGAAGCTCAGAAGGCAGGAAAGGATAGCAAAGAAAGAGGAGTAAAATGGTAAATATAGGAACAAAGTTGGAAAAGTGTCATTACATAGTAGGCGTTACAGTCAGTGTCATGAAATGTATTTGAACTGTTGAATGAAAAATGAATTTGATCTGGAAACTTTCTCTCAAATTACAATTAAAAGATGCTATAGTGAGAAGCTACTTTTTCACTTGTATGTTTAGAGGTACCAAGCTTTAATTATATACAATGTTGACAAAACTCTGGAGAAAGTGTTTTCTTTAATGTTGATGGAATAATTTGGTAATATCTGTCAAAATTTTAAATGCAAGGCAACGGTAAGGTGTAGGACACTAAATAAAGTGTTTCCATTTGTGTTTATGTATATGCAAAAAATCATATGTTGTTATGTACCATCAAGTTGAAATTGACTCCTAGCCAACCCTTTTCAGAAGTGAAGCACACAGGAGGAGATTGCCTATCTTTCTTCTCTGGAGCAGCTAGTAGATTTGAACTATATGCCTTTGGGTTGCTAGCACAACCCCTTATAAATAGAACTCTAAAAGCATAAAATAAAATACCTCTAAAAGGATACACAAGAAATACATATCAATGTGCCTACTGTCTTTCATACTATGTGCATGCAGTTATCCAGTCAAAACATTGGGGAACAGTGGTTTTTTTCAAATAATAATAAATATTTCAGAGTGTTTAACAGTATATCACTCCTAAGGGACCATGACACTAAACATACTGCTTTTTTGCCAGGTGAGTCTTCTGAAATAAAACTTATTTTGTCTTTAAAAAAGTAAATTTGCTTTCTCGGAGACATGATTCTAAGTCCTAAGCCAACAAAAAAATATAGTTGACTAGCTAATTGCAAAATAACTACCTCTTGGTTGTTGGGAGCTTATTTACTTTTCATGGAGATGTCTACAGCTTAGAGATAAGCTGAACTTTTAAGAATAGTCACGACTTAAAAGTGGACTGGGGAAGAGGTACCAGGTAAGGGAGGAAATTGTGCAACAATTAATGAATTGTTTTTAAGTGAACTGGGGTGGTAGGGAAGGAAATGTGCAACAACAAATGAATGAAAATCCAACTTTTCTATACACGTGTTGAAATCACAAATAAAAAAATAGTCATAGCAGCAACATGGTGGATAAAAATTAATATAACCAAGCTGTACACTTAAAAATGACTGAAATGACAATTTTTATTATATAAATAATGACATTTTTATAAATAGCCACAATATCTGATTCCATTCTATGAAGTTCCACTAAAATAACTTCCTCAGTTTATTCCTCCAAGGTATACAACAAAGAGAATGATAAAAAAGAAATATGAAGGAGAAAAAAAGAGAGATGTGGGTGTTTTTTGTGTACTTGTTTATAATTTAAACATAAACATATGCATCCGTAAATCTGTTAAAGCTAGGTCTGCTTTATTTGATGCCATAACCTCCAAAATACATCCTTCAATGTGATGTAGTTTTAAGTAATGCCTAATAAATGATTTAACAGAATTGTTTGCCTAAGATTAAATAATTTTATTTCCATTTGATGGCATGGGAAAAAAAGAATACATGCAAACAGTTTTGAAAAGAATGTTGAAATCTATGAGTTAGCAGAACTACACATTTCATTATGAAGCAGCAAGTAGATGATCTCACATGTTAACATGTCCTGTATCAAAACTGTACCCACAAGTTGGTTTTGAGTTGTTTTGGAGTTTTGGTAGGTTGTTTTCATGGTTTCTTTTCTTTTTTTTTTTTTTCATCAAAAAATTAATTTTTTTTTCTTTTTTTTTTAAGATGTGGAGTTCCTAGAAGTGCCATTAGGTTATGCCTCAGTTTTTTTATGTTGTCAAAATACAAAGCATTACTGATTCCTATGCTATGGAGCATTCAAATATACAGTATTTTCCAAAATGCTTTGGGGTCCTTGAACAGAAGCCATTATGATGCTGTACTAAATATTTGACAAAGGGCTTATACATGAAAAGAGATGTGTAATACATGCATAAATTATTGCTATATTGATATCCTGTCAGTGAAGCACACTGCAATCTCTTGACTATAAAAGAATATTTCTACATTTGGTCCCAGCAAACACTATTGTGCTGTTCTAAAATCTACAGCTCAGAAATTATAAGACATCCGCTCATAAACAGAAAGCAAATCACTATTCAGCATTTCCTGCTCTATTTCCTGCCAATTGCAGATAATTAAAACTTTTCTAAGCCTATTCTGCTTTAGTTCTGCTTCCTCTACCAAAAAGAAAGATTAGAAATTGAAACTCTGCATATAATAGTAACATCAAGTCTTTGACTTATTTTGCTTTTTTAAATCTTGTGATACTTTTTCTTCATTATTGCAGACCTCAGGATATAATTGTCTTCATAATTGGAGGAGCCACCTACGAAGAGGCTCTCACAGTTTATAACCTGAACCGTACCACTCCTGGAGTAAGGATTGTCTTGGGAGGAACCACAATACACAATACAAAAAGGTAAAGGGAACATTCAGAGTCCAACAATTCTCTTCTCTTTTCCAAAAAATAAAGCTTAAACTCCCTTACTAGAAGAAAACTTTACTCAAAGCTAACCAAACTGCTGGATGGAGTATTTATAGTATCAGATTATACAGTAATTTAGAATCTATCTCATTAGGTTCATAAATCACTTTATTAGGTCAGAGACTTGGAAAGTAAAGGCCATCCTGCACTGTTAATAATTTCTGTTTTCCTGTGTTCAAAGGAGAAATCAAAATACCATATCACTTTGAAAATATCTAGTTATGATGAAGTCTTATTGTTTTATTTTTGTTTTGTTATTACTAATAAACTGTATTCATTCCATAAATATGTAGTAATAAAAATAAAAGTAAAATCCTACCTCAATGTATTAACTGTTTATTAGTTAAGACAAAACATTAAAAAATAAATACCTGGAAAGACAGATAGGAATTCTAAGTGGCTAAGAAAAATTGTTTCATAGAGAAAATAGTGGAAAACCTAAACATTGTGTAGAAAAAGGACATACAGAGAAAGGAGTACATGCGAGGCAGCATTAACTGCACGATCAAGTTTAGAAAGCTGCTGCTATTGTTAAGTGCAGTCAAGTTCATTCTGACACGTAGTGACTCTGTACAACAGGTTGAAAGCTTGTTCAGTCTTTTGCCATTCTGTCTCCTCCCTTTAAGTTTTATAGCTTCAGGAAATCCCACAGAGGATCACTGTGAATTGGAATTGGCTTGACAGCAGTGAGTCTGAAATTTTTAGAAAATTATAGATGATGGTATACATATATATATACACACACACACATATATATACATATATATATATATATATACACACATACACACACAGAGAAGAGCAAGTAGTCAACTAGCTAGAATCTAATAAAGTAAATAAAAAGTTAATTGAAGGCCAGAATTATGGAAGGCTTTGAATTCCATGTTGAGCAATACGTTCTGTTGGGTAAAAAAATGAAAATTCATTGAAAGTTTTTAAACAGTAAAATTACATGAGGATCAAAGGGGTTTGGAATGTTAATTTGGTAGCTGAGGATAACAAAAACAAATAAGAAAGAGACTGGAGAACTTGGCATAGTGGTTGAATTTAATGACTGGTAACCCTGAGAGAAGGGCACTGTAACGTGTTTGTTAGTCATTGGGAGTCACTAGAGATGTTTGTGTGCCCTTTGATCTTGTATTATTTCTTAACATAACTTTTTCTTTAATTATACATGTAATAATATTTGCTTATTCTGATTTTTTTTTCATTCAGAAATTATAAGGATTTTTTTTTTAACCCCACCAAAACTACTCCCATATACCTACTATTACTGTGGTCTTTTCAGACATTTTTCCTAAACCTATGTAGACATTTATGTGAGTATGCATCCAAAAAGCCATGTTGTACATTCCACCTCATCATCCATATGTTATTTTCTAGGAGGTAAACCTTTTTCAGTGTTAAATATCTAATTATTCATCTTTAAACAAATATTTATTGAAGGGTCAGATTGTCTGCATTTGAATCCTAATTTTCCCTCTTAAATTTTTTTATTTTGTATTGATTTACATAACAAAATTCCTATTCATGTGTTTCACATATTCCTTCATCCGCATCATGTTTTATACGATCATTTTCATACACTGTGTTTTATAAAAGTAATCACCATTGATCTGTGTCGATTGTCACCTTGTCTTTTAAGATCCCTACTGAATCTCTTCTAATTCCTTTACCCCTCCCTCTGCCCACCAACCTCTGTGACTCCATGATTTCTCCCCTCCCCACTCTCAGCTCTTCTCTCCCCTTCCCTTCACCCTTTGGACTTGTATCCACATGTTACTAGCTAACCTCCTATTTTTACAATAATGGTCTTATGCAGTATTTGTTCTCATGACACTGAGTTCACTCAGCATAATGCTCTCTAGCCTCTCCCATGTTATGTAGTATATTGTGAAATCGTTGCTCCTGAGTGCTGCATAGTATTCCATTGTGTGAGTGTACCACAGTTCCTTTGTTTATGGACATTTGGGCTGTTTCCATGTTCTTGCTATTCTGAATAACACTGCTGTGAATATTGGTGTACAAATTTCTGTTTGTGTCTCAGTTCTACTTTACTCAGGGTATACTCCTAGCAGTGGAATAGCTAGATCATATGGAATTTCTGTGTTCAGGTTTTTGAGGAAACACAAAACTGCCTTCCATAGTGGTCGTACCATTTTACAACAATATATGAGAGTTCCAATCTCTCCACATCTTCTCCAACATTTATAGCTTGCTGTCCTGCTAGACTTTGCCACTGCTACTGGAGTGAAATGATATCTCATTGTGGTTTTGATTTGCATTTCTCTGCCAGTGATGTTGAGTATTTCTTCATGTGTCTGATTGCCATCCAGATTTCTTCCTTTGTGCAGTCTTTCCATATCTTTTGCCCTTTTTGTAATTGTGTGGTCAGGTTTTTCCTTGTTGAGGCCCTGTAGTATTCTTTAAACTTTCGTTATAAGACCCTTATCAGAGATGTCATTGCCAATGTGTTTTCCCAGTTAGTAGGTTTTCTTTTCATCCTATTGAAAAAAGTTTTTGATGCACGCAGAGATTTATCTTTAGAAGATCCCATTCATCAATGTTACCCTCTCTTGGTTGTCTACCTACTGTTTTTCTGAAAACTAGAAAAATAGCCTTTTTGCCTATTTTTCCCTTGGATATTCCTTTTTTCCCTCCCCTGAATAATTTGTAAGAATTTTATGTACATAGCTAAGATATTGACCATTTCTTTGCATGGTGTGTGCTTAACAAGCCTTTCTTCCCTATTTGATATTTTTTTATTTTGTTATTTAAGAAGTATTTTCAGGAGACTTCTTTTCTTTCTCCCACAGAGCAGCTGATGTTTCTTAAGTCCTTTTTACATTTTACCCTTTACCTCTACACCTTTTGCCTCTTGTACCTTTCAGTTAAAGGCCCAATAGTTACACACTACACCACTGTTGCATATTATGTGCCATCGAGTCAACTAAGATGTGTAACAGCCCAGTGAGCAGTGGTTCTGAATCCTGCCCTATCCTGTGCTATGCTCCTCATCTCTGATAAACTTGATCCCAGTGTTACAGTCACTGTGTCAGTCCATTTGGTTAAGGGTCTTTTACTCACTTTTACTCTGACCCTCCACCTTTTCAAACATAATGCCCCCAAATGATCTTTGTCATTTTCATTCAGCATTTCTAGTTTTGAGTTGTTATGTTTTGCTTCGCAAGAGAGTTTTTACCACATTTAGTCTACCATGAACCCAGAGTGGAAGTGTTAGTATAGATACTATCTTATATAGTATAAAATGGTAGTGGCATTATTTGAGCTTTATTCTAATTTGAAAATTCTCAAGTTTGGAAGATGAGTCCTGCTTTCTGAAATGTCATACTGAGGCTTTTGTACCTAATTCATTAGTCATTGAAATACCATTGAATTTTTATTATTTTTTTAGAAGTGACATGATACTCTCAGAACCATTTTATTCACATTTTTCCCTTGCTGCTATTGCTGTTGCTAGGGAGCCCTGGTGGTCTAATGGGTAGAGCACTGCACTGCCTACCCAGAGGTGACTGGTTCAAATACACTAGCTGTTCCACAGGAGAAAAATGGGCACTCTCTTCTTGTGCATTTTATAGCTTCTGAAAAACTGCTGGAGAGTCAGTTTTGGATTGGTTCCCATTTGATGGCATTGAGAGAGAGAGCTGCCATTACTAACAGTAATAATAATGGTTAATACTTTATGAGCATATATTAGGTATGCCCAATTAGTATTAACATATTCTATCCATATGCTGTGTATTATACTGAGTGCATGAATTGACTCCTTTAATCCTTATATAAGGCATATAATATCTTCACTGTATATATGGAAACTACAAAACAGAAAGGTTCATTAACCTGTCTGAGTAAACATGGCTCGTAAGATGTAAAGTCATAAATTGAAGCCAGAACCCATGTTTTTACTAACTATGCCTTTTCTACATAAGTATTACTTGAATGTCTATTACTGTACTGTTGTTTAAATAATATTTTAAAATTTGGAATTCAGGTTTTATTACTTGATGATAGTTGTATAAGACTTTGTTTTCTTAATCCAAATAGATTCTCTCATGTATGTATAGATAAATCATTCCGTTTAAGTCAGTCAGTCTTAATTCAGAATTTGAAAAGATCACTTGGCATTTAAATGGATCCTTCTGAGAAATAATATTTCTCACTAAGAATTTTAACTAAGTGGCCACTGCCTAAGGCTTATGGCATCTTCCTTTAATTTGAAATATGAGAAGTTTAAATGTATCTTAATTTTTTTAAATATTGAGCTTAGATGAAAAAAGATGAGTGGCGATTTTTACAATTTCTCTGTGATTTAGTAATGTTACCTATAAACACATATTTTCAGATAAGTTGACTAGTTAAAACTATTGTGAATAAGACATCATTGTACTATTAAAATATATGGGGAAAACATTCACTTTTTCTCCAAAGTTAGTGCCCAGTACCTTCGCAAATAATCTTTATGTGACATTTAAACAGTAAATCAGAGAGCTCTGGTGGCTTAGAGGTAAAGAATTGCATTACAACACAATGCAATTCAAATCAACTAGCTGTTCCATGAGAGAAAGTGGCCAGTCTCCTCGCATGCGTTTTACTGTTTCTGAAAACCCTTTGGAGGGCCAGCTATATGAGTCATTTCCAACTCTATGGTACATAACAGCAACAAGAAAGTAAGTCAACTTGCAAAAAGCCTGTACCTTCAACTGTAGTCGGTTCTGGTATCTCTTTGGCCTACCGGCAAGCTAAGCAATATACTGTATTGTATTTGAGCAGGTTCAATAAAATCTTCAATAGGATTATTCACTAGTTCTTGGTCAAGAAACTAATATAGAGTGTTGCCATGATAATTGCCAATTTGGAAAAAAATTTAATCTTTGTAATGCATAAATTATCCAATATCAGTTTTATATAGTGTA